TGTTACACTTGCTCAAAGAACACCAGTTGACCAGCACAGGAACTCTTTACAAGAGTAAAACAGAGATTCCCAAATAAATGTTGCAAGATCACAATAGAGAAATGTATAGTACAATCTTTGGATATCGGGAAGTATAACATTGGCCTCCTATATGGCAAAGAAAAACAAAGTGATACTCATTCTGTCATTGTTACACCATGATGCTAAGATTGATAGTGAAGCCAGGCATGGTGATGCATACCTGAAGTCCCAGCAGAGATAATAGATCCGATAAGTTCAAGGTTAGCTGGTACTACATAAGAAGCTCAAGGCTAGCCTGGACAACATAGTGAGACCAAACCAAAAAAAAAAAAAGATTGATAGTGAAACTTCTACACAAATGAAGTCAGAAATGGTCACATTTTACAAGAAAACAAGGTAAGTAGATGTTGTTGACAAGTTATGCAGCATCTATGCAGTTATGCAGTCACTTGAAGTATAAAAACATTAGCCAATGGTTGTATTTTATTGGATCCTAAACTTGTCAAGCATAAATAGTATCATGATTTACAAAGAAATTAACAAGTACAAAATATCACAGAGAAATTTACTTAAAAGATTGGGACTGGAATTTATAAGTGAAAATTGCAACAGAGGAAGAACAATATGTATCTGCCCAAAGAGCTCTGCAAAAAAATTGTGGAGCAGACCAGTGAACAGAGAGGTGAAACATCACAAGAACATCCTAAGAAAGCAGGAAGATCAGCAAGATGTCAAATATGTCCTACCAAAGAAGATGGGAAAACAAAACTTGTACTATCAGTATAAGCAGTACTTGTACATGGAACATGCTGTTTGCTTGTGTGGAAACTGCTGTAGGTTTGATAATTGAAATAAAGATTACTTTTGTGGTAGAGTTATATTTGTATTTTCAGTGTAGTTCATGTAGGAATTTATTTCAGCTATTTAGTAAGCAAACAAGCTGTTGATGTTGAAAATGTTGATGTTTGTTATACACACTCAGTACATATTTAATATTTTATTTAATTTCCTGCTAAGTGCACACTGTATAAGAACTTCCAGACAAAATAGGAAGACCAGAGAGATGACAGGTATGTCCTGCCAAAAAAAGATAGGAGAAACACATGTGCTATCAGTGTAAGCAATGCTTGTGTATGAAACTTATTTTTTTCACATGTGAAGACTGCCTTAGATATAACAATTGAAGTAAAGATTATTTTTTTGTGGTACTGTTTTTATTTTCATTGTAGTTCACATAGGATCCTATTTATTTGTGTTATTTTTTAGCAAAATACAATTGTTTAATATGATGTTTATTCTAAACACATTGCATATTAAAATTTAATTCAATTGTATTTTATTTCCCTATTAAGTACATATTATATAATATAATAAAACTCCTAAAATTATAATAATCATTCATCAATAGAAATACTCCTAAAAAATAAATGAGGATGTTGTATATCCGCTTATTGCTCCTTTTTTAGGAGAAATTTTATTCCAAAGTATGTTTTGTAACTAATGTAAATGAGATTTTTTTTTTCTTGAAAAGTATATTATTAGCATAAACTACTGAATTTTGGTAATTCATGCTATAGTATGAATTCATACAGTATAGAATTCATACTATAGTATCATATTTAATTCCTTCACATATTTGAGAAACTACTGATCACTAAAATAATTACTTTTTTCCATCAAGTAAGTATCTTAGATTTTGGGGGGAGGGGTTCATCATGGAATATTTTCTTTTGCTGTCCTCTGTGTTTTGAGTCCTACCATCACTTCTCAATCCCATTATCATTTTCTGGCCAAGTACAAAAATAACTTCTCTTGACTTGTTTCTGATTATAACAAAAATTTTTTTGAGTCCAGACTTAGTGTGATTTTTCTTCCTTTTATTTTCTGTTGGATATCTTAGTTTAAATAGATCACGAGTTCCTAGTTTTAATTCTTTTTTCTTTACTGTGTTTTCTGAAGTTTTAAATCTTTTTTTAGTTTTTTTTACATGAAATTTTTGAGTATTGTTGATTTTCAAAATCTCAACAATTCTTGAGTCTGCCTTGGATCAGTACAGTATTCTCTGATTTTTGTTATTATTTCAAATAAAGCAGTTCTTTTTCAGAAGTGTATAGCATCTTATTTGATGCTATTGAATCTTCATTAGAATTTAGAAAACAAGTCATATTTTCCTTAAAAGGGTATCCTGACATTTCATAAATTGGCACTTTAGCATTGTAGAGTGGAATTGTAGATGTTGTGTTCTTTCATAGATGTGTCTGGCTCATATACATTTTCAGTTGATTGGGTATTTGCTAAAGTGGGCAATTTAAATTATATGCAATTTAATTTTTGTACATCTCGTTTATAATTTTGCAAGTGGTTAATATGCATTTAAATGAAAGTATGAATTGGTATATAGTTTATGGATATTTGTTGCCAAGTAAGTGTATCAGTTTGCATAACTGTCATGATCCATTCATGTTGCAAAGGCAAATTGTGTTTTTTTTGTGTCAGTTTACATAGAAAATTTTCAAATATAATTGGTAGGCCAGATGACCCAAACCTTTAGTCATGAACCCTACCTAGAGAGTAGGACACTTTAAGTCGTATAATAAGGAAGGGGGAGAAATTTCATTTCTCAAAAGTATTACTGTATTGTTACTTTAATAGATGAGTTGTCCCTCTCCCCAAAGTTTATGTACAACAGTTTATCAACCACTTAACCTGTTTCAACCTGATTGTTTTAATTCGGGATATTTAACTATCTAAGGCTTTAGCAACTTTCTTTGGTCCCACATTTAGTTTTTAATTGCATTTAATTTTTGTATGTGTGTATCTTTTGTGCTTTAGTCTATTGGAAGTCTTTCTGGAACTTCTTTGACCTCTGTGGTGTATTAGGTTTACGCTGAACTACCTTCAGGTTAATTTTGCTGAATTCTCTTGTGTACCCCTACTTGAACTTGTGTGCCTGGGTGGGGAGTGTCTGGCTGGTCATTGCATTAAGGTTGATGCAGAGTTGTGGAGTCATCTTGCTCCAGTTCTTAGTTTGTTTACTGTCTCCTCAGAGAGTCTTCCTTGCTGCCACTGAAAAAACTAAACTTCCCTGAGTCTGGGGGTAGTTGCACATCGAAGGGAATTTCAAGCAAAAGTTAAACGAGCAAATGAAAATAAAATGGAACTGAATTCATTTAAAAATTTGTTTCAGAGAAGGTATATATCATCAATCTGTAACGTGATTTACCAAGAAACTTAGTCTGCATCAGGGATTTAGCTCAGTGGTGCCGCCTGCCTTGCAAGCGCAAGGTCCTGAGTTCAATCCCTGGAACCAAAAAAAGAAAGAAGGGTTGGGGGGGACTTAGCTTGCAATAGAGAAAGTTAAAACTCTAAGAGGGTGCCAAAATAGGACCAGAAAGAAACAAAAGATTTCTAGAAATAGGAGTCAGGAAGTCATTAAATTATGTAGCAAAATAGGTATTATTCCTTTCTAGAGGACTCCATTGAGGAATGCTTTTCTGTTTCAGTAATGCCACGTGCCTTCATGCTCTAGGTAATCTTCTCCATTCTTCTATATTTTCTCTTATTATTCTAGAGCCACCCAATTTACCTTTTCATTGCCTAACGTAGTGCTACTCAGTGCTTAATAATAACTTCTGTTCCTAAGCATTCACTACTACTTTTAAGGCACTGTTATTAGTATTTTCACATAATTTCATCTTGATCATATTATCAGTATTCTCTATATTTAGTAGATGAGGCAGTTGATAGTCACTTTCTCAAGGTTCTATAGCTGATACAGTGTAACATGATTTGAACACAGACTTTTCTCCTCAGATTTGTGAATTTTATTGTATGTCCTTTCTATGAATTTTTTACTCTCAGACTGATTCCTGCTTAGGTTTTTTTTGGGGGGGGGTTGTTTTGGTTTTTTTTGGTACCAGGGATCAAACTCAGGTCCTTGCACTTGCGAGGTAGGCAGCAGAACCACTGAGTTAAATCCCTGGCCCCCTGATTCCTACTTAGAAGCCTAGGCTCTTTGTTTATCACTTCACTGTTCAGAAATTTAGAAACACTGAATTATTTCCTTGGTTGTAAATTCAGCATTCAGAGCTCTTTGCAGATTTACTCCATCTTTTCTTCTGCCACACTGTCTTGCTCCCAACTGGCAGTACTTCTTGGAATTCTCCTTTCCTTCTGATTATTAATCACCCTGCATTGCTGCACAGTTGAAATACTCACTGTCCTTCACACCTTCATAGCTTTCCTTTTGATTTAGTTACCTCCCCCATTCATATTCCATGTTTCTCTTCTCTCCAGAATTCTTTTTCAAACCTTTGTCCTAAGAAAACTGTCCACTCTTAGACAACAGGCCTTGTATATTCAGCCCTTGTACATTCAATGTATATGCTTCTTTGAGTTCTTGAAGTTTTATATTCTTAAAACTTTTCACACTCCCTTCAGATTTTTTGCCCTTTTTCTATTTCACATTACCTCAAAGCGCTTATAAAAATGGTATAGTTTTTCAGCATTTAAGCAGTGCTAAGTTTTCTTCTATTTGAGGTATATATATAGCTTAAGCTGATAAAACTAACAGTGTGGTCATATGTAATTTAAATCAATGATGTTTTCATCAAGAAAAACAATGACAATGATTTCTTGAAAAATGATATATTTATAGAATCATATCCTGATTTTCAAGAAACAAAGCAAACTCTTATCCTCAGGCTATAATTCATTTCTAAAACTGCCGTTTTCACATGTAGAGAGACCTTTGTATGTGTGAAAAAATTTGTAATGTTTAGATGTTGAAGGGTATTATATATCCCTGGGATATAATCATTTCCCTAAGTCACCCATTTTTTTATAACTTATTATTGATAATACTACTTGGCAAGTAAAAAGTTGTACAACTCAGAGCAGCCCTTGGTATCTCTTAGGTATAAGAGTTTGATTCTTGAAACTGTGCTAGTCAATTTTAATTCTGTGTTTTCCCTTTTCAGGTTTCCTGAAATGCAGTTTTTCCAACAAGAAAATGTGAGAAAAATTCTTACAGATGTTCTTTTCTGTTATGCTAGAGAAAATGAGCAGTTACTTTATAAACAGGTAATGAAAATATTTTAAAGGTGGCATTCATTGATTTAAGTTTTTCTATACATTTGACAAATGATAGCAATAGTGCACACTTTATTATATCCAGAGTTGTATCATACTGCTAAAGCAATCCAAGTGCTCCTTGTCAGCTGCGGGGTTAGAAAGGTAAGCTAACTGAAGCACTTGTGCTTCTTCCTCGGTATAAGACATTGCTCCAAATTGTCTTCTGTATCATATCTTTTTTCAACTTTTGGGTTTTGTTTTATAAATAGCATCTTTGAAGCCAGTCTAGTAATGAACTTTTCAGACTTCTACTTATAAATACTGTTTCTAAGTACAGCATTTATAAATATGTGACATCATATAAAAAACAAGTGCACTTTAAAATTTACTAATAATAGAACTTCAGAGGTTTCATTAATTTTTTTGGTGGGCAAGCTGGGCATGGTAGCACAAACCTGTAATCCCAACTATACAAGAGGATCCTAAATTCAAAGCTAGCCTAGGAAATTTAGCAACACTCCTGAATTTCATCCCCACTCCCACAAAATAATTTTTCTAAAAAGAAGTTACCATAAATATTTTGAAAATTACTTTTTGCCTCTGTTATTTAACTTACTACCAAAGCAAAGAAGCTTATTGAATTGTTTTGAGTTTTTGAAATGTAAATTGATTAGTATACAAAGGTGTATCTAGGTTTTCTACTAAAGTTTATTGTGTTCCAGTAAAGAGATATATACTTGAATTATTTTTATTTCCCAATTATATATTAAATGCAAACAAAATTTATAAATCCAAAAGAATCAAAACTTGTATCTTATTAATGAGCCCTGAACTTTTAATGTAACAGAAAACACCTGTGTAAAAAGTTATATATTTAATTTGAAATAAGATTTATAGATTAAAAATGGTAGGGGCTGGGGATTTAGCTCAGTGGTGCTGCTGCCTGCCTCGCAAGTGCAAGGACCAGAGTTCAATCCCGGATACCAAAAAAAAAAGGTAAACCAAGTTAGACTACCATTATACTGAATAATATATTTGTTATTATATACATTAAAGAAACACAGAAAATAATTATATCTTTTTAAATAATGCTAGTAATCTATCTTTACATCAACTGCATGTTGACCATAGCTCTTTTTTTTTTTTTTTTCAATACTTGGGACTGAACATGGGACCTTGTGCTTGCGAGGCAGGTGACAGAACCACTGAGCTAAATCCCTGGTGACAATAGCTCTTTAAAATTGGAAATTGGAAAGAAAATCTCACTAATAATGAAAAAGTATAAAATGTCTAGAGGTAAACCTGACTGTAAACATTATAAAAGCTATCTGAAAAACACTATAAATGTTGTCAAAGGATTATAAATCAAGAATTAAATAAATACAAAATAATAACATGGTTTTAGCTGAGAGGACTTTACGAGTATTGCTTGTTTCCAAATTAATATAGAAATGTATTAATCTAGTACTAATCTAAATATGTGTTTTGTGAAAATGAGACAAAATTATTTTAAATTTAGTGCCTACTAAGTATTTTTTTTTTCCCTGCTGAAACATTTAGCATTTCCTTGTGGATTTTTTCACGTACCATGATGACTTTCAAATTTTTCTGTTTTTATGGCTGAATAGTATTCCATTTTCTACATATACCACATTTTCTCTATTCATCTGTTGATGGACAGTTAGGTTGTTGTATTTCTTGGTTATTGTGAATATGTAACAATGAACATGGGATTGCTTATTTCTCTGCAACATATTGAGTTCATTTCCTTTGGATATATAACCAGAACTAGGATTGCTGAATTATATGCTTGGCCTATCTTAATTTTTGGAGGATTTGCCATATAGTACTTTATAGTACCACCAATAGCATGTAAAATTCCCTTTCTCCACATCCTCCCCCAAATTTCTGTAAAACTTCTATAAAAGTTCAGTGATGGGAGGGGTTGAGAGGTTTTTTGTTTTTTTATTTTATTTTATTTTTTATTTTTTATTATTTTTTAGGATGCATGTTTAGCATGTACTGTGTCCTGGGAGAGAGCTCCATCACTAGGAAAAAAACAAGTAAAAGAAATTTCTGAGATCAGAATACAATAGTATGAGAATTGACCTATGGTTCAGTGGAAAAATTTAGGAACAGGTCCAGTTATATATAGGATCTTAATAATATAAAATAGGGAAAAGAATGTTTACTTTCTAAGTGTGATTTTCTAACTAGGAAAAAAAATTAAATTATACCTTATTGAATAATATCAATTAATATCAGATGGACTAATGATATAATTGGGAAAACTAACAGTATAAGAAAATAGTAGAAAAAGATTTAGTAAAACATTTGTGTGATCTTGGGGTTAAAAAAAAATGCCCTTACATGCAAAATAGGATATCTGAAAGTCATACACAAATTAAAAGACCAAAAACAAATGTGAAAGGAGATTGCCAGGGAAACAAAATAATAGAAGACACCATTCTAAATGGCTTAAACTATAAAGGTGTTAGTAACCCAGTTAGCGTGAAGTCTGTGGTTAAGTGGTTCTGCATCATTAGTTATTTTAGTAGCTCAGAATATTCATCATTGTATTGGCTGTTGTTCTTATGTCTATCTCCTATTTTCAAGTATTTGAAAATTCCTCGCTGGAAAAGATTTGCAATGATAGCAAGATAAATCAGGATTAAATTTCCCAAGCTAAATATTATTTCCTATTTTTCTTTAGGAAACCTTATAATAAGAGGAACAAGTTCTATACAGAAGGAAAATAATAACATCACACTGTGCCATTTGTGGTGTATGTAAACCACCACATTTTTTAATGAAAAATTAGGCAAGAAAATGGAAGATGAAATTGTTGATAATTTATGCAAAGCCTATCAATTACTGAATAAGAAAGTATTATTAGCTTAAAATTGGATTTCACTTAAAAAGACATAATTACTCCCTGTTATATTTAAAATCCTATAGATTCTTTACAAAGAAATACTACCTTGCTGTAGAAGACTGAAATGTAGCCAGATTAAATTTGAGAAAAAACCTTGAGTTTCATCACAAGCTGTTAAAGCTATTATTTTGTACTAGGTGACACCCCGTTTAACATCGACCATATTGTTAATAGTTATGGGATTTTATTGAATTAATGAGACTGTTATCATGTAGTAGAGTGTCTTGCTGAGTTAATTGAAACTGCAGAGATTATATAAATGGTATTAATGAACTTTGACTGACTGATGCCTCAGCTTTAATAAAGACTGCTTGGTGAGCTAAATGAGCACAGGCAGATAAAAGAACAGGTTCAATTTTGTGAGCCTACAGGCTGTTGATGAAGAAACTTTGTTACCTTTATTTTAAAATGGCATGAGTTTGGAGTGCAGTGACTGCTAACTAGCAGGGATGAAGAATTTCAGCAAAGAACAATGCTGAGAATATAGATAGAAGCAAAATATACAATTTGGGAACCAAGATGTATACTGAAATATATTTATATATATTTGTGTCTTGTCAAATTAGATCCTCTTGAATTTATGGGTATACCTTCTGGATATATCTCCTGTCTTTTAAAGCTGTCTATATACTTGCTACTTATAATTTTTTGTTTTTCCAGTGCAAAGTATCTAAGTCAGGGCTCCACACTAGCTATGCAGTTATTGTACCACCATTCAGTCTAGGCAAGTATTGTGCCACTCAGCTGTATTCCCAGTTCTTTACAGTTAATCATTAATCGGGTTTTACTAGTCTAGAATTGCCAGTGAAAACAATCTAAGGTCTCCTTCAGTCTCTTAAAAGTATCAAGAAAGTTCTTTTTTAGGTGAAACTCAAAGCTGAATTTGTAGAAGATTTTCTTAACAGTGCTCAGGGGACTCCTAATTTTTAACTGCAGAAATGTCTTCTATTGATTTGAAAGATGATATTTTTTCATATTTTATTTCAACTTTTGTAGTGTGTCAGTAAATTAGGTGGTAGATATTTCATTGAATCAGTCAAGTGTAGTGAAATCCTGCTTTATGCTGGGCCGGTATAAAATTTTGGTTCATGTGTACAATTGTCCCTCAGGAGCGGTTGCAGGGTTCCTCCGTGTATATCAAAATATGTGGTTGCTCAAGCCCTTTATATGAAAAGGCATTGTTTAATATAACCTGTACACACCCTCATGTATACTTTAAATCATCTCTACATTGCTTAAAAATGTGTCATACTTGCCACTTTCTGAAATAGTCTAGAAGTCTTCTTTCATGAATTTTGTTATGAGTAGTGATGAAAAAATTATATATTTCTGCTACCCAGTGCCATTCAGATTAAAGACAGGCTTGTGAAAACATTAGTGTCTTCATTCACCTTTTTTCACTAAATCTGGTACAATGTGACTTCTGACTCTTTCCCAAAGTCAAAATGACCATGAAAAGTAAACATTTGGAATTTATTCAGGACATCAAGGGAACCATGACAGCCCAGCTAAAGACACTAAAGAAGACTTGTATAACAGCTTCAGAAAGTGGCAAGGAAAACAGAATAAAGTGTTCAAAATGAAGGGGAGTACTGTGAAAGGGATTATTGGCATCTCATACTGTTAAAAACATGTTTTAAATGAAATATTAGCCAAAGTTTTTATCACAGTTCATAGTCTTGCCAGGCATGGCAGCACAGGCCTGTAAGCCCAGCATTCTGGGAGGTTAAGGCAAGAAGAATGTCTTTATTTTTTAAGGTAAAGCTTTTATAATAGTACAGTTCTTTTAAGGATGCACATGCCAGTGAAACTCTACTAAAATTCCAGAAATTCTGAACTAAACATTCACTTTCTGTTAAAGATGGCTTTCAGAATTCTTGGAAGAAAAGTTAACTATGCAACTCATTGAATAGATTGCATTTATTGAAGATGGATGGTTGCTCAATATATTAGCTTTTGTGGAGAAAAAAAATTATGTATCTTTCATGGCAAAAATTAAAATGAAGTGATGGAAGAATTAACTGGGAAAAAAAAGAAGATATTCCTACCTAATCTCAATAAGAGGGAAATCCTTTTTAGTCACACTAGCAGGAGGTAGGAAGTAAGGAAGCAAGAAAGGAAGGAAATAAGGAATAAAAAAAGAATGAGGGAGTATATCAGTTATTCAAGTGTATAACTTCAGAATGACATCAGAATTAAAAGAAAAATAGTAAACAAGAGAAAAATATAACAAAATGACAAAGTTTTAATGGGTCTAATTGATAAAGAACTATTACAAATTAGAAAAGGAAATAATACATTAGGATGAAATGGACAACTTCTGAAATAACTCCCAATAAAATTTTTGAGTTCAGTCTTACACTTGCATAAATCATTACAGTTTGTGAATTTAACAGGATTTTTTTAAAAACACCATGAATATAAACGAGAGGTATGAGATGGTGATTTTTTATTCTACAACTGAGCAAACTCTTTTTAGAGAGCAGTTTAATGGTACACGTCTCAGACTCAGACCAACAAATGCACCATTCCCAGAAATTTTATGTCTAAAGACTTTAAGGAAAGCATCAGAAACAGGCCAAAAAGATTATCACCAGAATATTTGTTAGAGGGTTTTTTGGGGTGGTGGTAGTCCTTTTTTGTTTTCGTTTGTTTTATAATACTGAAGATTTGAAACCAAGGCCTCACACATGGTAGACAAGTATGTTACCAATGAACTCCATCTTAGCTATTCTTATTTTGTCTGGAGACAGTTTTGCTAAGTTGCCAGAATGGATGGTAAACTCAGATCCTCCTGCCTCAGCCTACTAGGCTTTAAAATTTTTCTTTCTTTTGGTTTTTACCTGCTTTCTTGTCTGCCTTGATTATTTCTTTGCTTTTATTTTCCTCTAGTTTTCTACATTAAGTAATTATTATCCTAATTGTTAAAATGGGATACTTTCTTTTTAAAATAACTTGAGATTTTTTCCAAGAAAACTAACCTTTTGGTAATTTTCAAAATATAGCACACTCGATTTCATTTTTTTGGGGAGTCTAATATCTCCTCAGGGACATTGTTTGCAAGGTTTCTTATATGAAGAAATGGTTACCTAAAAAGGTTAGAGCGTTATATGGTATTTTATTCAAAATCACAAGCAAATTGTCCATGGATCATGTTATTTTGTAAAAATGTCATTATATCATTCTACTTTAATAAGATTTATAATTGAAGTCTGATAAAGTTCAATTGTATATTTGTGCTATCAACTGGATTCCTAAGACTAGCATAGTACTACTATATTACACAGCACACTATGGAATTTTCCTTCCATTACAGAAAGCCTCCTCTAATTACACCTTCAAAATTACACCTTCTCTTTGCTCCTATATTTATTTTTATATTTGCTTGGAAGGTGATATTTTCCCTTCTCTTTTTATGAAAAAGGATACTTAGTTACTAAGCAAAAGGAAAATGGTAATTTGCTCACATCAAGAGTTAGCAAAAAATATGATCTATGTTTACTTGGTACAGAATATTTTATGTTTAAAGGGGAAGAAAACCTAAATTTATAAGGCTATTCACTGTAATGTAAGATGTTATGTCCCCACAAAACAAGTAAATAATAGATTTTTGAAATAATTTTAAGATATCTTAGTAACTAACATTTATGCCTTTTTGATTCTGTGCTTAATTGTGTAATCTACATTTGAATCCCAATATAAGGGGAAACATTTTATTGATACGCTCATTAAATAAATTGAAAGTTAACCTATAATTGAAGAAGGTAAGAAAAATGAGTTTTCTGATTAAGCATGTTGAAAATTACATTTGAAAAACTTTGTTTTCTGTTACTGTCTGCAAATGATTATTTTTTATTACCCAACATTCCTAGCTATCTGACTTTAGCTCTTCCTAAATCTACAGACATCCTAATTTGGAGCCATTACATAATGAAAACATTGGATGTAATTTCCTGAGGTCTACAGTTCTTAGTTGCCCTTCTTCAGTGCAGATCTTTACACTGTAGCGCATGATTATAATTTGCATAAATGAAATTCATATTTATAAGTACAGATCTTGAGCAACTGACAGGTGCAAGGTTGTCTGCCATGCCAATTTATTGTTTGTCATGTCATTTTAAAAAGAGCTTTTCTCCATGTTTTGAAGAATATGTGCTGTGGTTGAATTGTAATCAAATTCTGATACCATTTTTATGCTTTGGTGTATAATATAGACATCTTGGTGGCAGGAATACATTGAAAAAAATATTTAGGCTAACTTTTAGTCCATTAGCAGATTCTCAATATCTTTCTTACTAATTTCTCTTGATGTTGTGTTTCAGGGAATGCATGAGCTATTAGCACCTATAGTCTTTATCCTTCACTGTGACCACCAAGCCTTTCTACATGCCAGTGAGTCTGCACAGCCCAGGCAAGTTTTTATGAGTTCCATCTATTTTTTTCAGCCCTCAATGTACTGGTCTTTTTTTTCTTTCAACCTCAACTCAAAAATTGTTAAATTGAAGGTGTTTCTAACTTTCATAAGTTGTGAACATTTGGTTTTGTAGCTATTTGTTAATTCCACTTAATACTTCTAATGCCAGTTTAGCTCTAGAACAAATTCGAAACCATATCTGAAATTTTTAGGTGTGTGTCAAAGAAAGATATATAATAGGTCAAGAAAAGAAAATGCAGTAATGACAAAAGTGCTTATGATTAACAATATTTATATACAGTATATTATCCTTTAGTATCTCACTTTTCACTGTAAGCTGAATTGTGAACTTTATGAGATACTTGTATCTCATCATCTTTTTTTTCTCCAACTCATCATCTTTGAGTCAATAAAGGAAAAGTGTTACAAAGAACCTCATTCTATATAGAAAGTGGTGTCTCATGTTTTTGAAATAAATTCAGTTATGCTTTCCTGCAAATGACTTTTATAATTGCATTTAACTTAAGTAATTGTTGGAATTCATTTTCTAACCTTATCTAATTGGTTAGATTCTTAAGATAACTTATCTAATTGGCCAGAGAAGTAACATTTTTAGGTGTGGGTAACTGTAGGATTGTAAGGCATTGTCTTTGTTCAGTGTTCCACAGGCTTATCCACCTATATGCAGAAAAGAAAATACTGGCAGATAGCATCACACATGTCTAACTTTGTAATCTTTGTAATATTACACTGCCTTTTTGCTAAGCATATATACAGGCTTGTGCTAAAGTGCTAAGTCTTTCTCATTTTATTGACTTTATTTGATCCTGACAAGAGTAACTGCTTCTTAATTTCCATCATTTCAATCCTAAAAAATAAGGATGAAGTTAATGTTGGATCATGTTTTTGTGCCGCTTTTATATTTTTTTAAATAAGTGCATGCAGAATATACTTTACAGGAATGTATAGATGATTGAACATAGTTTTAAAATGAGTAGGTCATGCTTCTTCAGCTATTTCAATCCATTACAAATTAAACGCAACACTGAAGTAGACTTGTAAAAGGTCATATCACTTATTAATTGAAGATAAAAATAGAAGCCACTAAAATTGTTTTGATATTGCATAATGCATCAATAACTATATATATATATTTTTTATGACGTGATAGACTGTGAAGTAATAAATTATTTTAAATCAAACAGTGAAGGAAAATATTGTCACGTTCTGCATTTGTTATTTGGAATAATTTATTGTGACACAAACAAGGCACCTAATTTGTTTTTTATCTTTATAGAAGAAAACTTAATTTGTTAATAGAGTTCCTGTTTTTATTTAAAAGGGTAATTTTTTTCATTTTCACATTATCTAAGAATTGTCTTATGAAGGTAGAATAAGGAGAACTATGCATCTACTTCAGCTATTAAAAACTTGCCGTTTTTGATTGTTTGTATTGCTTTTTTAAAGTGAGGAAATGAAAACTCTCTTGAACCCTGAGTATCTGGAACATGATGCCTAGTAAGTGCAAAAACTATTATATTTTTCTTTTTATACAGTCATTACCTTCGTGAAGATTAAGATACTACTTTTTATTTTTCTAATTTTTAGTGCAATGTTCTCACAACTGATGGAAACTGCTGAACCTTGGTTTTCTACTTTTGAACATGATACTCACAAGGTAACTCAGAGTACATATTTTTTTCAGTACAGAGTATTTGAATGAACAAATGACTTTAGAAAGCAACATAGAATTGTATATACTTACTATATAGTAAGTAATATATAGTATTTAATCATCATGAAAATACTAATGGTATAAGGAAGCTGGGGTTTTAAATGTATCTCTTTTTGGCTAAATAAAAAGGCAATATAAAGATTTCATATGAGTAGAAACTTTACATAAAGTTTATCATTCACGTAATATTGTTACATAGTTATAAAATTATTATATATTTTGTTATTGTCCTAGTGAGTTGCTATATATGTTATTACTTAAGCACACTGTGTAAGATTGGAATCACTAAGTAATAACATATAGAGAATAAAATGAATACCAATGCTACATTAGAGAATAGCTTTTGAAAATCGGGAAGAATTTGTCCTAGGTATGTAATCTTCAAATTCATGGTAGACTGAAAATAACAAAGAGCAATGCTAATAGTAAGAGGTAGAAATTGAGAGAATATTAGAAGAAACGAAGGGCATAATAGGGAAAGTGATCAGACTTGAAGGAATTACTGGAGTTAATGATATATCTCTTAATAGCAGATAATGGACAGCCAGAAAGAAAGTTGTAGTTTTGATCAACGTTAATTTTATTTTTTTTAAGTCAGCTATACTTTTAGTCTGGAAGGTTTAAAATCATTTTACTCAGTATTTAAATTGACAAAAAAAATTATAAAACATTTTTCTAATACCAATTTCCTTAATTTCTTGGCATTTTTAAAATGTTTTCAGAATTCAAGTGAAACAGTTTGCTCTTTTCATGTTTATATTGTATTCAATAACAAATAAATTTTCTTCAGAGTATTCCATTTATATAACATAACTGATCTGATAGTCTAGCCATGGATAGTTTGTGTTATGCACCCATCAGCACATCTAGCCAAAATTACCTTGTAATGCTTACTGTCAACAGCAGAAAGTATTCAAGGAAGTACAAATTAAAATATTTTAGCAGACATTTCCTAGCTGTTCATTTATGAGTACAGTCATCTATATATCAGTATGACATTGCTCATTTTAAGCATTTGTCATAAAATCACTAAAATTGCTTTTGTTGCTTTTTTAAACTACATTGATAAATAGTAATATCCATATGTAGTATTTGTTCATTTCATATTGAAATAATACATTTTTCCTGTTTATAGGGAAAGGAAACTCTGATGACTCCTATCCCCTTTGCTAGACCACAGGACTTAGGGCCAACAATTGCTATTGTTACTAAAGTTAACCAGATCCAGGATCATCTACTGAAGAAGCATGATATTGAGCTCTATCTGCACTTGAACAGACTAGAAATTGCACCACAGATATATGGATTGTAAGTATTACGATTCTGTTATAGCTATACCTATGATTTATGGTAGTTTTGTTTTGTTTGTTTGTTTGCTTTTTAGTACCAGGGATGGAACTCAGTTTTGGTAGTTTTTATATCTCTTGTCTTGTGCAAGTACTGTTGCATCCCCATTTTATTTCATTTCTCTTTTTAGTCCTTATGTCAGGCTCTAGCCCTATTATTTCATTTATGGTATTTCATACTCCTACCAACCATATCATTTGTGTGTCTTTGTTATAGATGAAGGAGTTAAGGCTTAAGCTAACTTTACACTAATGAAACCAAGAAATTATAATTCAAACCCAGGCAGAGTTTGCTATATAATTTTTGCAGAACCCAATGTAAAAGAAAAATGCAGGGCCCTTTTTGAAAAAAGAAAAAGGTAATAATAATAATTCAAGATGGCAGCAGGAGATCATTTAATCAAACATTGTAAAAACTATAGGCTTGTGTAGATCTCATATACATGAAGCTATTCCCCAAACTTACACAGGCCCGTGAAATCTCTGTGTGCTTTCTATTTTTTTATGTGGTCATTTTTTTCCTCTACTTTCAGAGGCAAGTGTCTGTCAGTAACATAAATGACTCTCTTAATGAACATAATGTATTAATTTTCTTCAACTACATAACTTGTGTAACATACTGGATAGCAACAGAATAGGGAGCCAGTCATTCCTAAAATGTCCTGTTTGTGTGTGTGTGTGTGTGTGTGTGTGTGTGTGTGTGTGTGTGTGCTTATTTTTTTCAGTAGCTTAGAAGGTATATAATCAAATTTTAAAAATAATAATTTTAACTAGAAATTTGCTGTGTAATGCTACCCACAATTAAAGAGTCTTATTAAATAGTAAAACATTTATTTATACGAAATGCTGAGACGCTGTTTTGCAGATATTTTTGCGAAGTTTTTTTCTCACATAGAATTTGGAAAATTAAGATATTATTGAGGCATCCACAGGAGTTCAATAAACATGAATTCATTACTTGAATTATTAAGTTTAAGACTAGACCAGGGTCTTTTCTTTATCTCAGAGAAAATAATCAATAAATGTTTTATTTACATTCATTCATGATATTAACAGTCTTTTACTAATGATAACAGCTCCCTGGAGCCCTGAACTATAATTGAAGAAGTCTGCTTTACTATTGTGTTGCTTATTTTTGTTTTTCTGATTTAATCTTGATATCATTATTGAGTGCAGGTTCACTATTCCTGATAGAAATAAGAAAGTTCTGTGTGATATGGGTATTGGTCAGAACTATGGGTTATTATTGAATTGCTATTTGAATGTATTAATCTAATTAAAACAAAGTTATAGATGTAAAATTTATTTTAAAATGCTAATGACAAATTCATTAGTAAAATTCTGTGTTTACTCTACTGTGCACTGAAAGAATTGATATAAAAATTCTTTTAATACTTTCAAAATATTGTTTGCTAATGTTAAAATTTGCTTTTAATATTGGGAAAAGAATGGATATTAAACATATTTATCTTTTCTTTTAACTGCTTTTTTTTCTGCTTTGACAGAATTAGCACTGTACAGAATTAGCAATAGTGATGGCAGAGCTTTAGAACAGTAATTTATCACCAAGTTTCTTAGTTTTCTCCATCAAACATTCATTTCTTTTCACTTTTCTGCTTCTTGTAACAATTCATAGAGCTCTTATGACATCCTGACTCATACTTTCCAAGTAAAAAATCCAAGATATATAACATACTTGCTCTTAATACTTTCAAATCTTACAAGCAGTGCTGATTATCGCTGTATGCAATAACCATGCCTGCCTCAATTAGCCCTTTATTTTTGTATAGAATCTTACCTATATTATCTTTAAATATATATAATTATTTTATTTTTAAAGAAGAAATCACTCATTGTTTCAATTTGGCCTATACTACATTTTATGGTGCAAGGACTTTACACATTTCAGTTATTAATTTGGTTTTATTATTACTATTTAAAAAACATGAAAGGACAAGTTGCTTGAATAATCTTATTTCCTTGTATGCTGCTCTAAAATGTACAACTTATCTTTTATAAAGACATTACATTTTTAAAATAGTGTAAATCAACAGAAAGCATGAGCTTTGACATGAAATATACCTGTTTAACCCCTTTGAGCCTTGTTTTTTATCTGTGAAATGGAGATTTAAAATCTTAGAGAATTAAATTATTATATAGTAAGTATTCAGTGTATATTTTAAAGTTTGTTACTATCATTATATATCACACCCCTGTAATCCCAGCTCTTAAGAGGCTAAGAAAAAGGATCATCCTTAGTTTGAAGACAGCTTGGATTCTGTAGTGATTTCAAGACTAAACTGAACTATATACTGAGACCATGTCTCAGAGAGAGAGAGAGAGAAATGAGAATATGTATTTTTGAAATATCCAGAGGTGGGGAGTTATACCATGTGAATACATGCATGTTAAATGCCAATAAATCTACTTAACAAAGTTAAAATGAATGATTATTGTAAAAATATTAGTTGCACTAATATTAATGTTATTCCAAATTAGCTTATTTTCACTCTAAATAAATTGATGATACCTGTCTTGAAATGAATAAATACTCATGAAACCCCCAAATGTTACATAATATCTGGCTTATTAATGCTATTATTGAATATATTTAAATACATGATCATCGGGATAATTTTAATACGATTTTTTTGTTAGCCATTTTTAAATCAACTTAATTTATGTTAAATAATATTAAATGCAATTAAAAGCTTAACAAACTGATAATTATAAAATAATATATCCTAAATGTAATTTATACCACTTTTTGTTAACTTTATGAAATATTACTCCTTTAACACTTAAAATGAAATTTCTCTTGCTTTAATTCAAATAATTGACATCTTGAGTTGTCTTTTGTTTCCCAATTATCAATTGTTGTTGGACTTTTAAATTAAATTGTCTAAGGCCCTGCCATGGACAATAATTTAGAGTTAAAACATTCACTACATAATTTCTAGTTTTAAAAGTTAATTTCTAAGAGTTGATTTTGTGGTGTTTTTATCTGTATTAGAGTAAGTTCATACAATTTCGTCATTTGGGGGTTATATGGTTGTCCAAAAGCATGTTAAAGTATTTGAGTTAAGTTCTGTCATGGATTGCATAGGATGTTGTGAGTCCAAAGGACTTAATTATAGCCAATTCATATAAAGATTCAATAATACTTCTCTTAACTCTGTTATTATATTCTTTTGTAAAGAGTTTTAAATTAATTTTTTCTAGGCATGAATAGCTCTTTTATTATTATCTTTGAATATATTGGATCTGTAAACTTGACTACATTTTATACTTTAATATAAACAGTACCATACATAATCAGCATCTGTGGGTGTTATGGTTTAGGTCTGGATGTCCCCCCAAAACTTCATTCAGTCAGAGGTGGCTGCATCCAGAATGTGTGATGCTGGGATTAAGGGTGTGTGATTACTAAACCACTACACTTGAGAGAGTGATTAGCACCACCCTAATCCCTATAGTTTGGGTGAGATAAAAATGGCAGAAAGACTCTGTGAAGGTCCTTTATTGCCTTTGCTACCTTTTGTGCGCCATGTTGTTTCTCCTTGCGATGTCTCTGTCATCCCTACCTTGGAGCCAGCCTACTACTGAAACCTCTACAAACTATACGCCAAATAAACCCCTTCCCTTTTAACTTTGGGTGTCAGGTATTTTGTCTCAGCAATGAGAGAAAAATAACACAGTGGAATATGCAGTTAATAGCACTTTTGAGGCAAAGCCTTCTTAACACATATGGCCTTTGGCACTCTTAAATTCTTAGGTCTTCACCTTACCCGTGGGATAAATTCCGTATTTCTCAAATTCTTATTATACATCCTCCAAATTTATTTCCTATTTTCTAGATTAGCAGTTGTTTTGCTGGGTGGTTTCTGATCATTTATTTTGGGGAGATCTTGGTTATTGATAAATTAGCTAAATTTTACAATACAATTTCAAAATATTTATATCAGAGTAGCAATCCCAGTATAATTTGTGTGAGTTCTAAGTTTTTTAAACCTATACTTGAAATATAAACCTGGTGAAAAAATAAGTCTCTCTCATCAAAAGTCAATATAATTAAAAGCTATACATCTCAGCTGGGAATATTGGCTCAAAACTATAATCCCAGCCCTCTGGGAGGCTGAGGCAGGAGGATCATAAATCAGGCCCAGCCTGGACAATTTAGTGACCTTGTCTCAAAAATAAAAATAGCTGAGGATATAACAGAGGCAGATGAATTCAATCTCTAGTACTTCCCCCCAAAAACCCCACATTTCATAATTTGAATAGTTGAATAGCCTTATAAATACAATTAATAATTGAGATAGCTTTTTCTTTTAAATGAGCTGTATATTATAATCTTATTTGTACTTGCAACAGATTTTATATTCATTTTGTTGATTAGGAAATAAAGGCTTTATAAAGGCATGTTTAGGTCAAATAGCCACTAAGAAAGTGAGCCAGGTTTTAAACTCATAAGCTAACATTCACATCTACTATGATAGGAAACTAAATCATCTGAAGGTATTATGTGTCTTACTTGACCTTAAGCCAAATTCGACTTCATCAGATAAACAACAAAGACTAAGGCAGATGAAGGTCCTAAATCAGAGGGGTCTTGTTAATAGTGAGCAGGAACTAATCTGGTTTGGGGGAGTAGAATATTAAGAGCCCTAGAGAAACTAAGGCCTACAGTCATGTCAAAAATGGCAATAAAATCAGGTTCTTCTACAAGATGTGCCAACAACACAAGTACAATAAAATGATACACCATAGCCGTAGGCTAGAATCTTCTTGCCCAAGTTCACTACAGGCCTTATTTAGAACAGGTTGCTATTTAGACCTATTACTTTATCTTAAACTCTACAAAAATGTTCATTGATGATGTAGAAAAACAGAACCTTTCCTGGTGTAATGAATATATATCTTATCATAGTCGCAGACTAACTAGGGAACGTTGTGCTAAGA